GTCATGAGATTCAAAATGGTCAATGAGACGAGGTGATGTAACTTTAATTAAGGTGGTAACAGTGGAGATGGTGGCAAAATAGATTCTGATTTATTTTTAGGTGGTGCCAACAGAATTTGCTGACAGATAGGATGGGAAGGTAAGGGAAAAACTCAAGCACGTGTCTGGTGTTTGTGGCCTGAACAGTTGTCATTTACTGAGATAGGGAGAATAATTTTAAACATGTTAGATTTGAGGTGTTTAATAGATGTTCAAGGGGACATATTGAGCAGGTGGATATATTATGAATCTGGAGCTGAGAGGAGATAATCAGTTGTCAGTTTTTAGGCTGTATAGATCTTTATTCTTAGTTATTTTTTTTTTTTAACTAGAATTGATGTGAACTGAGAGTAAATGAATGTCTCTTATTACTAATTTGAAGTCCTAGTATGGTACAGTAAGATAAATACTGGACTGCTAACAAAAGGTTGAGTTGGTTCTAACTCATACTGACCCTGTGTATAGTTTCCATGGAGCGGCTGGTGGATTTGAACCACCAACCTTGTGATTAATAGTCCAGTGCTTATCCTACAGCACTACACCAGGAGTCCATTATAAATTGTTTGTCTTGTCTCTTTTAATAGTTTTTGTTCTGAATCGTATTTTATCAGATATAAAAGATCACACTCCTATTTTCTTTTTGTTTATGTTTGCTGCTGTTTGTTTATGTTTGCCAGTCCTTTTCAGTCTTTCAAAATTGTTTTAGGTATATCCGTTTCTTTTTAATAGTTAAACTTATGCACATGTATTGATATGATAGATATGCTTGATCTCAGTGCTGGCATATTATGTTGTCCATTATGCAAGTGCATGTTTAGAAGGATCCCTGGTAGTGCCTTGGCTAAGAACTTTGCTTCTAACCACAGGGTTGGTGATTTGAATCCATCAACAGCTCCATTGGAGAAAAGATTTGGTGATCTCTTCCCAGAAGGATTTACCGCCTCGGCGGTCCTATGAGGGCAGTTCTACTCTGATGTGTAGGGTCTCTAGTAGTCAGAATTGTCTTGACAGCACAGAACAACAACAAAAATACACACGTTTAAATATTTCATTACATGATTTATTTACTTTGTTTTTTGTGTGAGTAGTTTTAACATTAAAAGATTTTAAATTTTGGTTTAGTGGTTACCTTTATTAACAATATTGTTAGTGCCATCAAGTGGGTTTTGACTTACTGCAACCCTGTGTAGGGTTTCCGAGGAGCGTCTGGTGGGTTTGAACTGCTGACTTTGTGGTTTGCAGTCCAGTGCTTATCCTACAGCACCATACCAGGGATCTTTTTTAGTTACAACTGCCAAAAAGTAGATATTTTGTTTTATTCTTAAAATATAATAGCTTAAAAAAGACATATTTCACTGTTGATCTGTAGGAAAGTCGTGGCATAAGGACTTCAGGTAGTCGTATGAAGAGTTAATAATCACATAAGCAAAAGAGTGGGGGTAGATACACAAGAACATGCATCCTTTGTGTATGGGTTTTTCAGTTGAGAAGACTTACTGCAGAGGCCAGCCGAATTTCCCTGACTGCTAATGTTTTTTTCCAATATCATTTCTATATATTGTAGATGACTTAGGTTTGGAAGTGAAGTTAATTCTTTAAAATCTTGGTTCAGTGTTGTAGTAAACTTCTTCCTGAATTTCGAATTAATTAAGCGGAAATTATGAGGTTAGAATTGGTGATTGAATCAGAGTGAGTTATCAACATTCTCATGGTATAACATTTTGTTTGAGTCTACAGTTTGGTTTTAGGTTCAATTTTTATAAGCTAGTTAGAATGATGGTTCGGGTTCAGTTGTTAAGAAACCTTACTGGATTTATTTATATGCAACTTGTTGTTGTTGTTGTCAGGTGCCATCGAGTC